CCCCTCCCAGCATAATGACACATGGCGGGGCAAAACATCTAGCAACAAGAGACACATCAGCAGCCACCCCCCACCAAGCCAATACACAAACACATACATCCCATAATAGTTTGCTCCCAAATAAGACACACAATAGAACAATGGGATACAACCACATGGCATTAAACAATCAACAACCCCCCACCCCACCTATACATGTCTACACAATATTAGGACAGATCACCCTGTACCCCTAACAGGCACAGGGTGACTTACACATAAGAGGGATATGGAGAGCTGAGACAGGGGTCTCCTCACCCCTCCAAAGTGAGCTGTGTTCCATGGGCCCCCCACCCAAAGTCATTCCCGTCACATCTGGTCTCTCTCTTCTTTTTTTTCTAGTTTGGCACTCGCAACCATACCATGGGGTCTTCATTCTGCCTCTTTGGCCTAACCTTCTATACCACCATCTCTCATACCCTCTGTACAAGTTTCCTCACCAGACCTGTATTGCATTGGTGTCCCACCAGTACGGTTACTGAGTGTTGATTTCAGAGAGCCCTGGGTCTAACTTTGGTGCCCATTTCGACTGTAAAGTCATATTTAGCCACACCGTACAACAGCTGTAGCACGAAAGTCTATTAAAATGGAAATTATTAATACAATGTCTATCTGCCTGCATATCTTTTGCTATGAATAGTTCTGTTGGGCTTTAATTACTCTGCCGCTTCTTTATAAATGAGTCCCGGTGTATTTTAGAAGCCAGTTTGGGAGATACTCCGGGAAACGTATACCCCGTGGCTCACAGATTTCATTATTACCGATGACTGGCTGAGATTAATCAGTCGAGGAGCAAAGCGTCCCTCGACATTTTGTTAAAATGGAAAGTGCAAATACCTGTGAATATGCATTGTACATATGAATGCCGTACCTCATGGCAATCATTCAGATTTAACATTTTGTCCCCGCCATCGGAATATCAATAGGTGATTGTCAACGGATTGCTGAGGACTATTATCCTCCGTGATTTGCTTTCCGTGTTATAAAGGGTCAGCCCCACCCAAAACAGATATATCTGTTATCATTAGATAACCCAATCTCTAAAATCTCAAATAAGCTTTAACATGAAAATGTATTTTTTAAGTAATTTGAAATATTTTAAAGCAGCTGGGGGAAACATCAAAATCCCAAGAAGAGGTCAGAGAGTAATAGATGGATATTATAAGAAGGAGATGGAACTGCTGGAAAACCCAGGGGATATGGGAAGCCACTGGCATGATTCAGAACACCTGACCCCACAATCCACTGAAATATTACTTAACCCATTATGAGAGGAAGAACCCAGAGCAGAGACTACCACAGTTTGGAGGAAACACTAAAATCCCCAAGTGGGGCACCAAGAGAAAATTACATTAGGTTTTATAAGAAGGAAATATCACTGTTGGATTTCCCAAGGGATATGGGAAACCGCTGGGATGATTCGGTCCATCAAATCTCACAATCCGCTGAAATATCACTTAAACCATTATTAGAGGTGGAACCCAGAGTAGAGACTACTACAGGTTGGAGGAAACCCCAAAATCTCAAGAGGGACACCAAAATTTCAAGGGGGACACCAAAAGAAAAAGACTTTTGGTATTATGAGAAGCAAGTGGCATTGCTGGAGAGCCCCAGGGATAAGAGAAACCCACAGGGGTGATTCAGTCCATCAAATGACACAATGCACTGAAATATGACTTACTCTATTAGGAAAGTCTTCCACTATCTCTGGTGGATTTTTACCTATTATGGAGAACCCAGACTAGAGACTACCACAGGTAGTTATATGGGAAACCACTGGGATGATTCAGTCCATCAAATCCCACAATACACTGAAATATCACTTAACCCATTATGAGAGATGGAACCCAGAGTAAAGACTACTACAGGTTGGAGGAAACACCAATATCCCAAGAGGGACACCAAAAGAAAAAGACTTTAGATATTATGAGAAGGAAATGGCATTGCTGGAGACCCCTAGGGATATGAGAAACCCGCGGGGGTGATTCGGTCCACTAAATGACACAATCCACTGAAATATCACTTATCCCATTAGGAGAGTCTTCCACTATCCCTGGTGGATTTGTTCTCCTATAAAGGAGAACCCAGACTAGAGACTACCATAGGTAGAGATATGGGAAACCACTGGGATGATTCAGTCCATCAAATCCCACAATACACTGAAATATCACTTAACCCATTATGAGAGGTGGAACCCAAAGTAGAGACTACTACAGGTTGGAGGAAACACCAAAATCCCAAGAGGGGTATGAAGAGAGAAAGACTTTAGGTATTATAGGGAGGAGATGGCACTGCTGGAGACCCCTAGGGATATGAGAAACCAATGGGGTGATTCGGTCCACCAAATGACACAATCCACTGAAATATCACTTACCCTATTAGGAGACTATCCCTGATGGATTTTTTTTCCTATTATGGAGAACCCAGACTAGAGACTACCACTGGTTGGTGAAAACACCAAAATCCCAAGATGGACATCAAGAGCGATAGGCAGGTATTATAAGAAGGAGATAGCACTGCTGGAGACCCCAAGGGATATCAGAAGCCACTGGGGTGATTCAGTCCACCAAATCCCACGATCCAATGAAATATTTCTCAACTATGGACGGATGCTTTAAACAAAGCTCATTCACTTTCCCTGCACCAGACACCAAAAATAAGCCTGCAAGGTTAATGGACTCATTAAAAATTCACAAGCTCCATAAAGATAGTTATTAATAAAAATAGCACAGGATAATTACGGATGGGTCACACCTTTCTGCTTCAGCCTCTCTGCACGCTCAGAACAAAGTATAGGGATGCTACGGTGCCACTCATTTACACTACAAAGGGAAAAACCCCCCCGATTATATTAACATCCTGGTTATGGGGGCTGCAGGAGCTGTAATGTTCTCATTAATATGATTATAAAGGCTTTTTCCATGAGTTGTGCACTGCGACACAGACAGCTGGACCCTAGGAGTGTAAATAGTAATGGGTGGATTAATTAAAGGACAATTCCCATTAACATTTAATAAACTCTGCAGCTGGCTGAAGTCAGAAAGTCCATTCAATCAGTATAGAGATCAATTATATATATAGATGCATTTTATTTTTAGGGTATATATGATGCTATTTTTGCATGCAGTGCACAAAAAAAAAGTGTACCAAAAAAGGACATGGTATGTTATTGGTCGCCTCCCAAAGAGGAAGAACCCTTCCCTGACTCGCCTCCCAAAGAGGAAGAACCCTTCCCTGACCATCCAGGCTGCCAGACTCCAGACAGTGGCAAGGCACTCTGGTCCAGCTAGCCAAAACACATGACTGACCCCTCTCCTCATTGCCAGTCGAAGGTGGCCACAGAGCGCAAAGTTCGGGACTCTTCTGAAGAGAGACCCTCTAGGCAGAGGAAGAAAGAACCTAAGAGCTCCATATCCTCCTCAACACTTTAGGGTAGGCCCAGTGATCCACACCCTACCATCCTTGTGGAGTGAAAGACACATAAAAAGTGCAGTGACAAACATATGAAAAACATGTTCCTTAGACTGGTGTTTTAGATATTTTTTTGCTACATGTATACAATCTTTGCAAAAAAATATATATATGACAAAGGATTCCCAAAGCACTATGGGTTGGCTAACGAGACAGCCCAACAAAAACAGTGGGTGTTCAGCTACCCAGCAACCATTTTGAACCTGATGAATCCCAATCTTATGACCTCTCAAAAAAGATCATAGTACTCCTTTGACAATGCCTTCAACTGCTTTTCTCTCCAGGACCTCTCCGTATTTGTTCAGACCTCATCCAGGTTCACCGTTTACTTCCTGGACTAAAATGCCAGGTCACGGATGATGCAATCATGTAAATCCCCGTGCCTGCACAGTTCATGGCTGTGTTCACAAATGACTGACTCAGATCAGCCACTGATGCAGCCTCTCATCTTGTGACTTGCTGCAATGTTACAATCTGATCCCTGCAGAAATTTAGACTGAGGAAATGCTTCCTTCTGCCTGTAACAGACTGGTGACATCATCTCAGCCTAGGCAAACTCACTGATGGGAGCTCCAGGACGGGTTTCAATGATAAACAGCGAAGCTGTTTTTTGTTTTTTTTTTTTTTTTTACTTTTCTCAGCTTTATATTCATTTTTGAGGGGGGAAGAACTGGGAACGGAGGTCAGTAGATCTCCCCAGCACTATAAGGATCCACTGGGTGATTAGTCCACCTTTATCCACCCATGACTGAAGTATAAAGCTCATTGCACCTGATATCGTCTTTTATTTTCACAATCCACGTATCTCATTTTCTTACAAAATTCCCATACGCTTTATTAAAACCTGTACAATGAAATGGTGACTGTATGTAATAGATTACGAGATTTCTCCACAACCACAATGATTGTGACTTTACAAACCTACTGTCTGTTATAGATATAATAAAAGGTTGTCCAATCACACCACTCACATTACAGTCTCTTAGATCTAATTAAAAAATTCAGCTCCTATTAGATCTAACAAAAAATTCCAGCTCCTCTAGTCACTGTTTCATACATTTCCATCCAATTTGTAAAACTTGACTTCATTTGTGCTTGTTGAGGGCATAGTGGGGAAGGATGAGAATCTCTTTCAGGTTTGTATTTTCTGTCTTTGTCCCCATTGGGTTAATTTTTCTGTCTTTTTGACCATTAACACTGGGACAAAATGTATAGCCAGAACAGGAGGCTTCAAGAGGAAATCTTGACTGGTGGTACTTGCTTTGTTTAGGGGTTTCCTCACTTTAGGGAGATTTTCACTCAGTTCCTGTTGTGTCTATAGGACAAGAAGTGAGGAAAAATCTCCCCAATGAGGCAAAGGCAGAAAAAACTGATAAGGGTTTTAACTTCTTTCCTACTTTATCCAAAATTATTAAAAAAGACAACTTCAGATGCACTTTAATCACCATATGGGATATTTAAGGTTGCTGTAGTGAAGAAGTATTGCTTACCTGTATTGTTTGACTTTGGTAAACCTTTATGACGTGAAAGTTGAAGCTATAGATTCCTTTTCTTGGGGCCACAAACACTGATTCCAACGTGAAAAAGTTACCCACATTTACTAAGATCTGGAAGACATAAAAACAAATTAGTGTGAGAGGAGTAGCTGATGTCAGCATTTTCAGTGTTCATTTTGAGGAACATCAATGTACAAGTAGCAAAGAAGAGGTCCATGGTCAGTCCATGGGTGGTTAGCAGTGGGAAATTACCAAATTACAAAGACATCTATCCCTCAGATTCCGTCATCTACAGTCTTCAGATATTGTGGCCTAGGAGCACAACAAGCTCCCTGCCCTGAACAACCATAGCCACGTTTGGCTCAAAATTCCTTTCTTGACCCATGATTGAGGCTGAATCTGTCCCCTGGATCAAAACATTCTAGTAATATCCTCTAGTAATTGTAAATGCTAACACAGTTAGATGGAAAGAAAGGATCTGGTCTATTTTTACATTTCATAATTGATTTTTCCGTTACTGCCCTGCCAACAATGGAACAATGGAAACAATTGTGTTAGAGCTGCACATCAGTGAAGACTTTGGAAATGTATTCCTTCTGTCCCTCTTGAAAAATATCCAAGAATGTAAGAGAGTCAGGGAAACCAATTACGTGGTCAGACATTTGTGAACCCCCTCAAATCATTGGGTTTGGGTGTTTCGGTGATGGGTACTGTTATTACTACAATATACAATATTACTACAATATACAAAAACATTTTAGATAATTGTGTTTTTCCATCCTTGTGATAACAGTTTGGTAAAGACCCTTTTCTGTTTAGGCATGTCTGTGCCCCTGTGCACAAAGCCAGCTCCATAAAGACATGGTTTGACCTGTTTGGTGTGGAGGAACTGGAGTGTCCTACACAGAGCCCTATACAGTGCTAATTACCTTCCTCAACCCAGCTCCACCTCTGATTCTAAGTCAGGTGGAAATGTGCATTTCTGGGTGTTACCAAGAGTATTGCAGCTGCATTCTATAAGCGCAATATCCACTTCCTGCTGTGAATAGCTAATTGGCGTGGCACCCTTTGTCTGAATGACTGCAGCCCATCTCAGTGACACTTTCCTCCCCGTGTCATGTTGCAGCCTATCAATTTAGCATGCTCCTGACTCCTATCAGGTTGTAATTTATCAGAGTGACTCCTTCCTCTTACCTACCCTGTTTAAACTTGGTGCAGCTTCCATTTTGTTGCACAATAAATGCCTTTGCAAACTAGCTGGCAAGCCCCTGGTACACAATCCTGCTATCCAGCCTTTATCCTCCATTGATTCCTGTGTACCGAATTTTGCCTTGTTCCTGGATATCTGTGTCTGCTGCCTGTCCTGACCTCTGGCTTGTTCCTAGATATCTGTGTCTGCTGCCTGTCCTGACCTCTGGCTTGTTCCAAGATATCTGTCTGCTGCCTGTCCTGGCCTTTGGCTTGTTCCCAGATATCTGTGTCTTCTGCCTGTCCTGACCTCTGGCTTGTTCCTAGATATCTTTGTCTTCTGCCTGTCCCGACCTCTGGCTTGTTCCTAGATATCTGTGTCTGCTGCCTGCCCTAACCTCTGGCTTGTTCCTAGATATCTGTGTATGCTGCTTGTCCTGACCTCTGGCTTGTTCCTAGATATCTGTGTCTGCTGCCTGCCCTAACCTCTGGCTTGTTCCTAGATATCTGTGTCTGCTGCCTGTCCTGACCTCTGGCTTGTTCCTAGATATCTGTGTCTTCTGCCTGTCCTGACCTCTGGCTTGTTCCTAGATATCTGTCTGCTGCCTGTCCTGGCCTCTGGCTTGTTCCTAGATATCTGTGTCTTCTGCCTGTCCTAACCTCTGGCTTGTTCCTAGATATCTGTGTCTCCTGCCTGTCCTGACCTCTGGCTTGTTCCTAGATATCTGTGTGTGCTGCCTGTCCTGACCTCTGGCTTGTTCCTAGATATCTGTGTCTTCTGACTGTCCTAACCTCTGGCTTGTTCCTAGATATCTGTGTCTGCTGCCTGTCCTGACCTCTGGCTTGTTCCTAGATATCTGTGTCTGCTGCCTGTCCTAACCTCTGGCTTGTTCCTAGATATCTGTGTCTGCTGCCTGTCCTGACCTCTGGCTTGTTCCTAGATATCTGTGTCTTCTGCCTGTACTGACCTCTGGCTTGTTCCTAGATATCTGTGTCTTCTGCCTGTCCTGACCTCTGGCTTGTTCCAGAGGACTGGTGGTACTACTTTATCCACTGCCCTGTGCAGTACCACTCTTAGAATACCTGCCTCAATCAGAGTTTTAGAACACAATTATGTGCTTGTGTAATAATAGCACAAACAGGAATAGTGTAAGCAACTTACAAAGGCCAATCAGAATCCAGGTTTCATGGCTAAAATTAAGGCTGTTGGTGCCTAGTTACTAGTATGTTAACTCACACTATGACTTTTTGTGCCAACATTATTTAAAAGGTTCGTCCATCATGTTGGGTTGAAGTATATCACTGAAGTGCCTCCAGTGAGCTTGCTGGTATTGTAGCAAAAGATGTATGAATTTACTAATGGATTTACTGTAATGTAAAATATTCTACGTAACCCTCTTGTAATGGCTGCAAGAAAAGAGTGGGATGGAAAATCCCGCTGATACTATGTGCAGATAAAAAATGAAAAGTATATGAACCCTTCCTTCTAAATTATTGAGTTCAGGTGTTCCCAGTGAAGGGTACTGGAAATGCTTCAGCATGCAAAGACATTTTAGACAATTCTCTTTAACCTTTATGTAACAGTTTTGTGAGGACCCTTTTCTGTTCCAGCATGACTGTGCCCCTGTGTACAAAGCCAGCTCCATAAAGACACGGTTTGACCAGTGTGGGGTGAAGAACCACAAGTTGTCTACACAAAGCCGTGACATCATCCCTACCGAATACTTCTGGGATGAATTGGAATGTTACTTGCAAGCCAAGTCTGCTTTGTACAAAACCAGATCTAAAAAGGCATGGTTTGATGGATTGGGTGTGGAGGAACTCAGGTACCCTGTTCAGAGCCATGACCTCAACTCTACTGAACACCTTTAACCAGTTTGGTGTAGAGGAACTCAAGTGTCCTGCACAAAGCCCTGACCTCAACCCTACAGAACATCTTTAAGCAGTTTGGGGTGGAGGAACTCAAGTGTCCTATACAGGGGCGGACTGACAACTCATGGGGCCCCCGGGCAATAGGAGATCATGGGGCCCCTGTGTCCTTGCCCAAACTCAAAAAAGCCTATGAAAAAGGTACCAGGGGCATCTCATGGGGCCCCCCACTGACCCCGGGCCCTCGAGCAGTACCTGAGTTTCCAAATGATCCTATACAAAGCCCAGACCACAACCTACTTAACACCTTTAACCAGTTTGGTGTGGAGGAACTCGAGTGTCCTCCACAAAACCCAGACCTCAACCCTACTGAACATCTCTTACCAGTTTGGTGTGGAGGGACTCGAGTGCCCTGCACAAAGCCCTGACCTGAGCCCTACTTAATATCTTTTACCAATTTGGTCTGGAGGAACTTGGGTATCCTGCGCAAAGCCCTGACCTTAACTCCACTGAACACTTTTGGGATGACTCAGAATGCTGACCTGGAGTCAGGTCTTCTCATCTAAAATCAGTACCTGAACTCTTAAATCCTCTTTTGGCTGAATGGGCCAAGGGCTTGTGAAAAGTCTTCCCAGAAAAGTGACGGCTGTTACAGGTGCAAAAAGAGGTGTGGGAAGTCCATATTAGTGCCCATGATTTTGGAATGGGATGTCCAGTATGTTAATACATTTGTCATGATCTGGTTTCTTACTATGGTACAAGAAATACACTCAGGTACAGTATATCTCACCATCAGAGTTCCCAAACAATATAAAAAATCCATTGGGTTTGCAGAAAATTGTTAATCTAAATTCTGAATCAACCAACCCTTAAAATAGCAAGATGGATAAAGTGCAGAAAACCATAGCTATCAATCACAGAACTGTCTGTAGTGTGGTCTGCCAGTGAACGTTGATTTACAGTTGGTTTCTATGGGCTTCACTTGGAGCTTGTTAAATGCTCAGGACTGAATTGAAATCTTGACTTAAAGTGAACTATAGGCAAAATAGAAAATGACATACGTGATGCAGGCTGCCTCCACATTAACACAGCAGTCTTCACTTTCCTGAGTCCCCATAACATAGTTTTATCACTCGTTGATCCTATTAATATGAGGTGGTATCAAAAAGGTTTCAGACTACTTTTGTAACGTGCCAACAGATGGCAGCGTAAGGTGACGGGCACAGTCACCTTCATAAGTCATTGTGCCAAAAGACATCATTCTGTGTACATCGGGAGCTGTGCAACTGGTGCAATTCTGATCACATGTGTTACCACGTCTGCTGTTTCATCATAGACAGCAAGTTAGAACAAAGAGCAAATGGGAAATTCTGCATGAAACTGGGTAAATCTGCTGAAGGGACATTTGAAATGATTTGGCAAGTTTACGGCGATGTTGCAATGAGTCATTCAAGGTGTTTTGAGTGGCATGTGCGCTTCAAGAGCAGAAGAGCATCACTAGAAGACGATGAGATATCGGGAAGACCTTCAGCGAGCCCAACACCCAAAAATGTCGAAACCATAAGGGAACTTGTGCATGATGATCGTCGGAGAACAATCCACAACATTGCTGCCATTGTCGGTGTGCCATACGGAACAGTCCAGGCAATCCTCACGAGTGATTCGACCATGCACCATGTTGCTGCCAAGTTCATCCCCAGGCTGCAATGATCTCACTTCCGCACCCACCCTAATCACCAGATTTGGCTTCTGCGGACTTCACCTTCTTTCTGAAGATGAAGATCCAGCTCAAAGGTCATGGTTTTGACAACATTGGGGAGATCCAGCATGAATAGCAAAAGGTGCTAGACATGCTTCGAAGAAAGGACTTCCAGGACTTTCTTGGGTGCACCAAAGCCTTCTTCACAACAATTGGACCTCTCTCCTTGAAGTTCTCGATGATCCGATAAATGGTTGATTTAGGTGCAATCTTAGCAGCAGCAATATCAGGGGCAGACTGGCCATTTGGAAACTCGGGCACTGCCCGAGGGCCTGGGGTCAGTAGGGGGCCCCATGAGATGCCCCTGGTACCTCTTTCATAGGCTTTTTTTGAGTTTGGGCAAAGACACAGGGGCCCCATGATCCCCTATTGCCCGGGGGCCACATGAGTTGTCAGTCCGCCCCTGTGTTCCAGAAGTGACAGGAACGCAGGGAGCGCTGTATTACTGTGCAAGGGGACTATTTTTTTTAATTCACTAGTCCAACTAACACCACCCTCCCCACAAGGGGACAATGCTGCTGTCCAGGTGCTCCTCCATAGATACAGTGTAGGAGTGAGCGTGTCCACCACAAGACAGGAAGTCCGTGACTGGTGGTGAAAATAAAGAAAAAAGCCTAAAAAATGAAAACGAATGCAGTCACCACTTACAGGACTGTAAGCTGAAAAAAATGACATTGTACATCACACAAAATCACATTTGTTACATTGTCCCTGGGTTCAGATACACATTAAACAGCATTTTATTTCATCTTAAGTACAACGCCTCTCAGACAGAGCATGAAGGAAAATGCATTGAAATTGCTTCCAATATTCCGAGCCTGCAATAGATAAATATGTACATCTCATCCAGATGCACGGCCACTGACTCTCTGAAAACGATGCTGCGCTGTTGTCTCTCCAGCTATTTGCAATGCAGCATATTTAGGTGTAATTAGAGTAGAATAGACCCAACTCCCTTCGGAATGACCGTAGTTGAAATTCAGGAGTTCTCTGAATCCAGTTCATTAATTAGGTCTCAGTTACACTGTCAGAGCGCAAAGAAAAACCCTTTTGTTTTTTTTTTATTCTTTTCATTTCTGTATATTTCTAATGACCTAATAAAAATGAAATATTGTAAAAAAAAGACCTCCAAATAGGTTTCTTATTCAGGCTTACGTAAAGAAGTTTCTTTGCTGAGTGCATTCAAACAATCCTTGCATTTCTGTAAAGGGGCTACGGTATAGGTTGGTGCCATAAAGAAATCACGATAATAAAACATTGTTTAATGGGAAAGCAGGAGGACGCACACACGAGTAACTCTTAGAACGAATGAATTTATTTGATCTAAAATGATGTAACGATTAGGAATAAAGCAGAAGTAAATGAGATCAAAACGACATCGGCGGAGGATTACAATGTGTCTTGTTGTAAGGTCAATCGGATGGAAAACTCCGGTCCATTAATTTCTGCTTTTCTAATTATGTGAGGTGCCCTGCTGCCAGAACAACCTCATATAATGATAATATTGTATTGAGAACTGGATGTTCTGTAGAGGAAGGTGTGCGTGTGTGAGCGTGTGTGTGTGTCTGTGTTGAGGACCTTAGAGTGTAAGCTCCTTCGATAAAGAGACAGAATAATCAATCACACAAGCTGAATAATTCTCCATTTTCCATAAAGTGTTGCAGAATACCTTACAGATTATGAATGTGCAAAGTCATGGGACTGACAACTCATGGGGCCCCCGGGCAATAGGGGATCATAGGGCCCCTGTGTCCTTGCCCAAACTCAAAAAAGCCTATGAAAAAGGTACCAGGGGCATCTCATGGGGCCCCCTACTGACCCCGGGCCCTCGGGCAGTGCCCAAGTTTCCAAATGGTCAGTCCGCCCCTGGTCATGGGATTTATGTATACTTTCAAGTCATATTGAGACTTTTGGGTGACACCCTTTTTGCATGCCCACTTCTGTTTATTACAATTTTTCAGCCCACGCTGTCAAAGTCCACTCATAACTGAAATATACATTTTTGAGTGACCATATCCATCTCATATGCCCATCTGTGTTTATTACAGCTATGAGTGGGTTTAATTAACTATGGGCTTCTTCTATCGTTCATGGACTCCAACCTGAAGCCGTTCCCACCTAGTGCTTAGCTCCCTATCTTTCATGGACTCCAACCTGAAGCCGTTCCCACCTAGTGCTTAGCTCCCTATCTTTCATGGACTCCAACCTGAAGCCGTTCCCACCTAGTGCTTAGCTCCCTATCTTTCATCGACTCCAACCTGAAGCCATTCCCACCTAGTGCTTAGCTCCCTATCTTTCATGGACTCCAACCTGAAGCCATTCCCACCTAGTGCTTAGCTCCCTATCTTTCATGGACTCCAACCTGAAGCCGTTCCCACCTAGTGCTTAGCTCCCTATCTTTCATGGACTCCAACCTGAATCCATTCCCACCAAGTGCTTAGCTCCCTATCTTTCATGGACTCCAACCTGAAGCTGTTCCCACCAAGTGCTTAGCTCCCTATCTTTCATGGACTCCAACCTGAAGCCGTTCCCACCAAGTGCTTAGCTCCCTATCTTTCATGGACTCCAACCTGAATCCGTTCCCACCGAGTGCTTAGCTTCCTATCTTTCATGGACTCCAACCTGAAGCCGTTCCCACCTAGTGTTTAGCTCCCTATCTTTCATGGACTCCAACCTGAAGCCGTTCCCACCAAGTGCTTAGCTCCCTGCCCTCTATAATGTCTCACTGTCCCCAGTGGTGTATATAGGAGCCAACACAAAAATCGGACTCACCCCCCTGCAGAGAGAGCCTAATGTTGACCAACCACACCCCTGCCCCCACCCGGGAGAGCCTTCCACTAACACATCCAATCCCCCCCCCCTCCGGGAGAGAAAGTCGCTCACCTTCACAGCTCCAGACAATGCTGAGAATGAGAGTCGTGCTCTGCATACACAATCAAGTAGTCTGTAGCCTCTCTCGACTCCCACCTGGTCCCCATGCCGCAAATGTCCCTTCTTCCAGGGGGTGGTGCTGCCACTCTGAAAAGTGCTGCCCTAGGCAAATGCCTTGTTTGCCTTGTGGTAAATAAGCCCCTGACTGTCTCCCCCCCCCCCCGTTACTTTCTTTGTCTTGCAAGATAATATAAAAATGCAACAGTGGGAGTGAGACTACTATACTGTAGGTGGGAACTCGCCGCTGCAGTTCCCAATGACCGCAATTTCCTTTTTGGGATGGAATGGTACTTTAATGAGAAGGTGCAGGGAACTGTGCTGTGTAGAAAGTCTTAAGAATTGTTGGTAGACATTTCTGGTTGGCTAGAGTGATTAGATTCATGAAAGCTGATTTCTGATTGGTAATTGATTGCAGTCGATCCCTACTTTGGTCCCTATGTGTCCTCAGTCAGTCAGACACCTTTAAAGATGTAGTTCTATGAAATCTATAAGAACCACAGATGGATGAGGTTCTGCAACAATAGAACCATAAAAATTTTATTTCTCTGGTGTGAAATGCTTGGCAACAAAAGAGTTAAATCATGTGGCACCCACCTGAACAACAGGCACATAAACCAAGTTAATCAATAGAGTTAACATCTCAAAAATTACAGTCAATGTAGGACCCCATTCTGTACCCCACCATGGATGGAGTCAGTGCTATATTAATTGTTATAGTGGAACGCAAGCAGCTGAAGCCCCAAAGAAGTTAATCTGTAGAGTTAACAGTTCTAGCTTTTACAATAGAAATAGAGTCCATGTAGGCCCCCATTCTGTACCCCACCATGGATGATGTCAGCACTATAATAATAGTTATGGTGGAACACAAGCAGGCGAGGTCCCAAAAGAGGTTTGGCAACCCACTAAACAATACCTGACCCCTCCCATGACCAGATTTATTTTTTTGAGTCAATAGCTCAAGCTTTAATAATATAAATACAGTCCATATAGGCCCCCATTCTGTACCCTGCCATGGATGATGTCAGTGCTATATTAATAGTTAAAGTGGAACACAAGCAGATGAAGTCCCAAAGAGGTAATATGTAAAGTCAACAGCTCAAGCCCTAATATTATAATTACAGTCCACGTAGGTCCCCATTCTGTACCCCGCCATGGATGATGTCAGTGCTATATTAATAGTTAAAGTGGAACACAAGCAGATAAAGTCCCAAAGAGGTAATATGTAAAGTCAACAACTCAAGCCCTAATATTATTGCAGTCCATGTAGATCCCCATTCAGTACCCCACCATGGATGATGTCAGAACTATATTAAGGGTTATAGTGGAACACAAGCAGCTGAGGTCCCAAAAGAGGTTTGGACACCCCCTAAAAAACACCTGACCTACACGACACCCCCAAACCCCCCTGACCCCCCCCCCCCCATGACCAGAGCTAATTAAATCATAAATGACCAGGTCACATTTTTTTCGGTGTCAGTATGCATCAGGTAACTTGACTATAATTCAGAGGGTTATGAGGACTAGCAACGTGCAGAAGTGCGGACTCCTAGCTGCAACGTTCTCACCGCACATGGCACATTGACCAACGTTCTCACGGCACATTGACCAACGTTCTCACAGCACATGGCATTATTCCTGATGACTTCCATAGGCATATTGCACCAATAGATCTTGAGAAACAAAGAGGTTAAGCCATGAAACATGACGGGGCGCTAATCTGAACAGCAGAAACAGCAGGCAGCGAGCCATATTAACTCTTCAAGTCTTTACGCATTGACTCGTGGCTTCGGCTGCTTCACTGGGTGGCCAAATCAAAGGCTTCATTAAATTAGGATCGTGAGGAGTGTAGGAGAGGCATACAAAGCCTGTTTGGTGAAAACACTCATTGTGAGACACCACGCCGCTTGCTAGCGTGTTTTTCTTCCCACAGAGTGAATATATAGTACGAACATATCCTGCTGTGTCCCTACCAATAAATCATGGCACGCACTTTCTTCACGTTCAGAAAATTAAATAACACTGACGGCAGGGAATTAATTAATGACTTCATTTACTTTAGACTTCTTTTTTTTTTTGTTATGGCTTTGCTCTTTTGCAGCTGTAAGCAGACTGGAAAGACAACGGTCTACTAGGTCAGCTATTCTTCGGCCCAAGCCAATTCTGCCCATACACTCATTGGTTTTCATGAGACTGACCTTCGATACAATCGTTTTAATCAACATGATGATCAAACCAGTCAACTGACGCAACACAATGTACATTCGCCTGCATTAGACCGATCGCTTTGATAAAAGCACCACACAATGGGCTTGAAGGCATTTTAGAACCAATCCAACTCTGGAGATTTCAAAAATCTTTGAAGGGTCAAAGACAAAGGCGATCCAAATGACAAGATCTGTCATCTCTGGATGGAATTAGAAAAATCACAAATGATTATTGGATCATGACATGTATGCCAAGATACCATTGCTCATCGACAGGCAGTACTAATAGGCAGGTCATGTAGCCATCAACAGCAACAAGACACTTTTTAATGGATAATAAGTTCATTAGGGTTTTGAAGAACGTCTCGTCTCTATGGTGGGCTCAGAAGCCCTGGGGACCTTTATAACATAGTTAGTCAGGTTGAAAAAAAGACACAACTCCATCTAGCCATAGCAATATCTACTGTACCTCTTCATTCTAGATCAGTGCTTCTCAATCTCATTCCTCAAGTCCCCCAATAGGCCATGGTTTGGGAATTCCTATTAGACATGACATACCAAGCCATTGACATTGACATAAAAGCATGCAAGGTGAAAGAATTCCTAAAAACATAACTTGTTGGGGATACCTGAGGACTGAGGCTGAGAACCACTGTCCTAGATGATAAGACTGTCTTTAAAACATATGGTGGGGCTTTGCCTCTTGACTTGCTGCAGCATTGTGTTTAGTCTATTCAATGCCAATAGAAAAAGTAAAAATGCATGCTTGATTGTATACATTTTCCAGCTTGCTGGATGAGATTTAAATCAGCCCCTGTGTTCCAAAATGGTAGCTACATGAACTGCCTAATGATCGTCATGCTCACGTTTGCCATATTGCTAGTAAAACGTTAGTACATACATACTGAGATGTCATGATATGTGGTTAGAGTCAGGAGACACTGATGTGATTATGACCTAAGTCATGAGTTATGACCTAAATCATATCACAGTAGGTCTGTTCCTGCCCTGCCAAACAATCAACCCCATGAAAAAGACCTTCCAGCCAGAATTCAGTCTTCTAAAAGAATGTAGCTGCTAAAACAGAACCAGTCCAATGACTTTGATTTAAATTCTAAAGAGGGGTTACGAGGATAAAAACTGGAATCCAAGAGCTTTTTTTGATGACCACATCTACGACCACACAATTGATCTGGTAACATGTTCTAAAACTTATCACTGCAGATCCTTTCCAGCCAGCAAGCTGACACAGCGAAAGGTACAGCCGGGAACGCCAAAGCTGATTGTGTAGCATCGTTCCTTGGCATGTTTACTCGTGCTTAATTACTGCAAACATGAATATAGCTTATGAAATATTTATAAGATGCGATTCCTTGAGTCTAACAGTCAGTGGGTGCTCGAAGGTGAGCGCTGAATGGCCTGTAGCACTTGGGTGTCCTTGGTGCAACGCATTGGAATTCCAGCACTTAACACAGCCGTCTAGGAACTGTGAAATATCAATAGCGTGCACCTGTTGATTCCCATGGCAATAAGAAGCCATAAATCTGAAAAAAAAACACGGTCTGAAAATACTGCGGAAGAAGAGCATGAAAATCTGCCACTCATGGCTCAATGAAAACAAAAGATTCTCGGTTAACCCTATGCACGCTGCTCCTACACCCTTCTTCCAAAATTGTGCAGAAAATCAGTATTTTTTTTCATTTGTCTATAGTGCAGGATATGCCCAAGCTGGCCAACTGCATCAAAGTGATCTATTTGTGCATCGTACGCACTTTGGTGGGAAAATTCATTGCAAAAATTGCAATACATGGTCAACTGCATCCATGTGATCCATCTCTGGTCATTCTGTACTCTGTAAAGGAAAATACTTCTATACATTTAGCATACCTTAGTTCCAATATGGGTTAAAATTATTGTATTTGTTGCAATATATGTCCAAGATGTGCTTCTCTAACCAGTCCCTAATCAACCAGCCAAATGGGAAATAATTACATGCACCTAGTGAAGTTTAGTGGTCATATAGGACCAATATGGTGTAAACAAATTACCTATATTGTAATACAAGTGCATCAAAAGGACCTGTCTCTGGTCCTTCCCTACTCAGCCAACAAAATGTAAGCTACTTCCATGCACCTAGTGTGCTTTACTGGTCACATTGGACCAATATGGTGTACACAAATTGCCTATATTGTAATACAAGTGCATCAAAAGGACCTGTCTCTGGTCCTTCCCTACTCAGCCAACAAAATGTAAGATACTTCCATGCACCTAGTGTACTTTACTGGTCATATAGGACCAATATGGTGTACACAAATTGCCTATATTGTAATACAAGTGCATCAAAAGGACCTGTCTCTGGTCCTTCCCTACTCAGCCAACAAAATGTAAGATACTTCCATGCACCTAGTGTACTTTACTGGTCATATAGGACCAATATGGTGTACACAAATTACCTATATTGTAATACAAGTGCATCAAAGGGACCTGTCTCTGGTCCTTCCCTACTCAGCCAACAAAATGTAAGATACTTCCATGCACCTAGTGTACTTTACTGGTCATATAGGACCAATATGGTGTACACAAATTACCTATATTGTAATACAAGTGCTTCAAAGGGACCTATCTCTGGTCCTTCCCTACTCAGCCAACAAAATGTAAGATACTTCCATGCACCTAGTGTACTGTGTGGGCATATAGGACCAATATGGTGTACACAAATTGCCTATATTGTAATACAGGTGCATCAAAGGGAATTATCTCTGTTCCTTTTATACTCATCCAGCCAATTGGAAAATACTTCCAAGCGCCCAGCGTACTTTAGTGGTCATATAGTACCAATATGGCATCAACAAATTACATATACAGGTTCAACCTGGACAACTGTGTAAAAGTGATATATCTGTGCTCCTTTCATACTTAACCAGCAAAATGGAAAATTCTTACATACATCCAGCATACCTCAGTATTTCTATAGTTCTAATATGAATTAATATGACTGCATACATTCAAGGTGCATCGAAATGGAAACTTAACTTAAACTTAGTGTACTATAGTGGCCAAAGTGCGTGTGAACTCATTACATATATTGCAATACACGCTCGCCCTGGCCAGATCCATGAAAGTGATCTATCTCTGCTCATTCTAAATCTGCAAAATGGAAAGTCATGTAGATAGCATACCTTTGTGGGCACATAGTACCAATATGGACTAAACTCATTGCATAAATTGCAAAAGAGGTTCAATCTGGCCAGCTGCCTCAAAGTGATCTATTTCTGGTCATTCCATGCTGAATCAGCATAATAAACAATTCTTAGGTGCTGCTAGCATACCTGAGTGGATGTATAGTACCAATATATGGGTAAAACTCCTTGCATTTATGGTAATACATGTCCAAGCTGGCCAACTGCATCAAAGTATCTCTGGTCATTCCATACCAAAGCAGTAGAAAATACATACATGCAGCTAGCATACCTGAGTGGTCATGTAGTACCAATATAGGCTAAACTCAATGCATTTATTGTAATAGATGTTCAAGCTGGCCAACTGCATCAAGGTGGTCTATCTATGGTCCTTGTAATCTGAATCACCAGAACAGAAAATACTTATGAGCACCTAGCGTACCTTGGTGGTCATATAGTGCCAATAGGGTGTAAACCCATTACATATATTGTAAGAGATGTTCAAGCTGACCAACTCCCCCAAAGTGATCTATACCTGCATGGGCTAAATTCATTGCAAATATTGTAGAGATATTTAAGCTTGCCAGCTGCATGAAGATGTTCTATCTACAGTTCTTGCATCCTGATTCACCAGATTAGAAAATACTTATGAGCACCTAGCACACCTTGGTGGTCATATAGTGCCAATAGGGTGTAAACCCATTACATATATTGTAATAGATGTTCAAGCTGACCAACTCCCCCAGATTGATCTATACTTGCATGGGCTAAACTCATTGCAAATATTGTAGAGAGGTTCAAGCTTGCCAGCTGCATGAAAGTGGTCTGTCTGTGGTCCTTGCATACTCATTTACCAAGATAGAAAATAATTATAAGCACCCAGCATACCTTGGTGGTCATATAGTACCAATAAGGTGTAACCCCATTACATACATTGTAATAAATGTTCAAGCTGACCAACTCCCCCAAAGCGTTCTATACTTGCATGGGCTAAACTCGTTGCAAATATTGTAGAGATGTTCAAGCTTGCCAGCTGCATGAATGTGACCTATCTCTGGTTCTTGTATTCCAAATCAACAAAATAGAAACTACTTCCATGCACCTAGCATACCTTAGTGGTTGTATAGCGGTTTTATAGTACCAATATAGACTAAACCCATTGCATATATTGTAGTAGATGGCCAAGCTGGCCAACTGCCTCAAAGTGATCTATCTCTATCTACTCTCTATTCATCTTATCCAAAAAATGGTCTAATTCATGCAGTTGGCTACTTTAGGGGACATTTATGTTAACATGGGGTAAAACTGACATTTCTGGAGGAAAGCTGCAGATGTGACCAAATCTTCAACCACCCCCCCCCAAAAAAAAAAAAATATGAGATAAACGAACATTAAATCCAGCTCTAAGGAATAGGAGGTGCACATACCTGGTCGAAATAGATTATCCTAGTTTTGTTGCTCATCTCAGACGGCTCATGGTTGGTACTCCTGACAGCTGAGAAGGCAACCTTGGAGTTAGCTGCCCTGACAGATATCCCAAGAGGGGATGAGGAAGATCCCTTGTTGTCAGTGGCCGGGTTGGAGTCGCACACCACCAGGCATTTGCCCTCCAGGACGATGGGCTCGGTGTCGTTCTGGGCTAAGCAAGGTGCGGAGCCAAGGAGGAGCAGAGCGCAGCAGAGAGGGATCAGCACCTTGGAGAGCTCCGCATAGGAGCGCACTGCTTTCAGCACCACCATGGTGTCGGCTCTGTCTCCTCTCAACCTCTGTCAGAAAAAAAAAAAAAAAAAGATTCACTTTCCAAAAAAAAAAAAAAAAATGTTACCCCTGCCTCCAACACCAAAAAAAAGTCTTGATGGCTTTA